CGAGTGTGCTAGACAACGTGGATCTTTCTGCAGAATCTTCTTGTTGTATTTGCTTGGAAGTTCGTATACATAAACTTTCAATTTCCCGACCGGATTATCCTCAAGAACATCACCAGCACTTCCTACATACATATATTTGCAAAGAACAACATTGGAACCGGTCTGTCAAATTAATCGCATCCATCGACATTTTCTTTTACGTTTCAGTAAAATAATTATATAAAAGTCACTGCACTCCAACCTACGGTTTAAGCATGCGAAACTCAAATGAATTGGAAAGGGTCCGACCAAGAAATGGAGCGTAATACAAATAAGCATACTAGGAATTGAATGCATTATGTGCACAAAACGGCATTGCCTAGAAGAATGATCATCTAATTAGCATATGATAAAGCGCGATATATGATCGATTTGTTCGGTGATAAAGCGCGGTATATGATTCAGAAAGAGGGTAAATCCCCAATAATAGATCTTCAGTATCATTCATCTTACAACACAGCTCTACGATTTTCGTTATCCAACACTATGAAATCTATAAAGGTAGCGAATAGGATATATATATACCCAATTTTTCACAGGACACAACTCGCATTATTTCAAGGACAATTACACTACAAAATTATGACAATCCATTATTCCTCTAAGCCAGTAAAAATAGTTACAGTTCAAAAAATTGTGAGGAAATATTCATACTACTACTACTACTACTACTACTCGATGAAAGAAACAATTTTTACGAAAGAAGTAATTAAAACCCCACCAGTTTCGCACTGAGAATATTGCGTCAAACAAAATTTAAAAAACATAATCAACCTCAAGAAAGAATATTAATGGCAACCAATGTGGATTGGTCACACAGGCATTTTAACAAACACAAGAAGGCTTATAAATAAATTAAAAAAAAAAAAAAAAAAGTAATTGAAATCAGAATCGGCAAAAAGATTACCTGAAATCCTCTCAGTACGTACGGAGGCGTGGCCAATTCCCTCGACACCATAATTACCCAGAAACAAAGAGAGAAGAAGAAGAAGAGCCCGCACGCCAAACACCATTTTTGTCTTAAAAAAAAAAACAATCTTTTGAAAGAAAAATGGGCAGAGGATTTAATTTAATCAGTTGGCAAATGAGTAGTCGTAAGTATGTATGTATGTAATAGAAGTTTGGTGAAGCGTTACATTCCGAGTATTATTGTCTTTCCATATAAGACTTCACTAACCGGGAAATATATATATATATCATCATTTTACAATCACATATTTCAATATTCTCACTTGCATGTGTGTGTGTGTGTGTGTGTGTGTGTGTTGCTTTTGCTTACTACTTGTTTGGTTATTGAAAGCTGCATTTCGTTTGCCAGTTCGATGCCCTGTCCTTCTCACCTTCAAACCGTTCTAGCTAACTCACCCTCAAAACCTTTTCTTTTTTTTTATTATTATTAATCTCTCTCTCTCTCTCTATATATATATATATATATATATTTATATATATATATACATATATATATATATATATATATATATATATATATATATATATATATGAAATGCTATTATATTTCATTTATTTTTATGTTTTACGTATCTTGCTTCAAAACAAAGGATAGTTTAAATATGAAAAACAAAAATTATTGAATTTGTTATGAGGAATTTTTTATTAAAGAAAAAAAATCATTTAGTAAAAGAAATATTTAGCTTCTTACTTGTTCGTCAGGCAGGATGGTGATGCAAATTTGACATGTCGGGTTTTATTATTATACTCTTTAAAAAATCGGAAAATTCGGAAAATTTGAAAATTGGAAAGAAAAAACCTGTTCCAAATTCAAAAATTCACCTATAATATAATAGAAAAATATTATTATTTATTATTAATGTATATATTTTTTTTAAAGGACCCAAAGATTTTCGGAAATTGGAATATCATATAATTCAACTTTGATTAAAAAAAATATATAAATAGATGAATTAGAAAACAGAGATTTCCGACATTTGGAATTAAATTTGTTGTTTCAAAATTACAATTTCCGGATCAATATCGACGGATTCAAAAATTATAATTATGTTCTAATTGTTAATATCAAAAATTTCAGTCGAAATCGACGAAAACGAAAATATGTTGTAATTTCCACCCGAGTAGGGATAGTCAAGGCAATATACATGTTAAATTCAAATATGAAAAATAATAAGTCAGTTTAGAATTTATTTTCAATACTTAATGAAAAGTGTAGTTCATTGGAAGCAATTTGCCCTTTTCCTTTTCCTTTCTTTAAAGAATGGGAGCATCTTTGATATTATAACTGACATTCGAGTAGGTGATATGCATTTTAGAAGTTATGGGTATCCACTACTATTGATTATAGAATTAAATCCACTACCACCTAATTATTTTGAAATATTTCTTCTATCTATGCATTTGTAGTACTACACTATGACTAGTAATTATCTCCTATATTAATTTGGTAAATGGCGGTCCGTAAGTTTGGCTTAGTTGGTGGGCTAAAAGAATACGAAGTCAGAAATTCAAGTTTGAATTTCCTTGCCAATTGACGGGGTTTAGTTTTTCGGGTCGAACTCTTGGGTTGAGCTCATATGTGGCTAAAAGTCCAACCCGTTGGTGAGGCCAAGGTCATATGGTGGGCCGAGCTTGTTGGATGGAGTGTGCTAATTGGGCTCGAGACCATTATCGAATTGATTTTGATATACGGCTGAATTCAATACTAGGTTGAGTTCGCTATCAAGATGAACTTGGTGTTAACGGGTTTGGACACCTTAAATTTGAGTATGGATCGATATGGGTTTGTCTTTATACTCCGTTTGATTTTAAAACAATTATGCATACGGCATACCTCGCCCGAGCTTGGATATTAACTTACACTTGGGCCTATTTTGGTTCAAGTAAGGGATATGATGGGATCCGAAATTCATCTCCAACAAACATTGTTCGAATAGATCCAAAAAGCAGGGATCCCACGTTTGGTCAATTGGTTTGGGCGCATGTTGATAGAACCTGATTACATCCATCTTTTGGTAGGTTCGTTGGATTGATTGTTCAGTTGCATTAATTGACAGGTGAACCCTATAAAGTTTATTTTATAATTCATCTTCTTCAATACTCTTTGCACTTGGTGGTCGAAAAATAGAATATGATATTTTTTTTCCATCTATTGTTGCGTTCTTCAAACACCTTTAAAAATTTAGAAAAAAAATTGCAATTGGGATTTTATATAATGAGTAGCAGCAGTTCGACAGGAGTTTGTGGTCAGAGATGAGTTACATTGTTTTGCAATGATGTAAGCGGGAATAATCATCTATTTATTTCTCTGTTTTTTTTAACAGGAGAACAACTATTATATTAGGATTTTAAAACAATAGTTTTGGTACAAATAGTAGTTTTACAAGCCCGATGGTACATGCTATTACAGTCATTATACAAAATGTTGTTCAAAAAAGTAGGGCAGTTTTCAAAAGTAAGCGTAGTATCGTTGTTCATAGTAGTTCCAATTTTTGCCAAAAAGTCTGCTGCACTATTTGTCTCTCTGTAACCAAACTCAACTTCGACAGCGTCGAATTCAGTCAATCTCCTCCACAACTCCTGTAGAAGTGAGTTAAAATCCCTGTGCAGCTGTTCCTTCCTGCTAAGAGTAGACATTAAAAACATGAAATCAGTTTGGACAAGGAGTTTTTTAATATCCAGTCTTCTGGCGAGGTTAATCCCTTCCACTAGCGCCCAACATTCAGTTTTATTATTAGAGACAATGCCTATGTGTTTAGCAAAAGCGTTAATAAATATGCCATTACTATCTCTAATAATACCCCCGATTCCGGCAGTTCCGGGATTATTTTTGGATGCCCCGTCAATATTAAGTTTAAACCAATCGTTGGAAGGGGTTCCAAGAAAGGGGGGTTGGAATAGTAACCGAGATTTTGTGTGCTGGCGTGGAGATCATCTGTTTGGCTAGAGTCCACATATGTATGAGTTGGATTTCTTTTTGTTGGAACACAAATTATTACGAGCTTTCCAAATGAGCCAATAAGTACACATTAGCAATTTGTGCTTGAACCAAAGGAACATGACGGAACCTGTGAAAATAACTACAAAAGTTTTCCTCCAAATTGGAATGAGGAAAGGGAATACTTTTGAGAATACTATTAAGAGCAGTACAATTTCGTAATAAATGTGTGATTGTTTCAGCGTGTAATTTACACAGGGGGCAAGTATTAGTCGGCACACATTTACGTTTGAATAAAAAGTCTTTAGTAGGAATACTATTATGAGAAATTTGTCAGACAAAGAACTTAATTCGAGGACCAACTTTCAATTTCCATATTGTCGACCGAGGGAGGGCAGGTTCAGAAAACCCATAATTATTAGAATAGATCCAATTAAAAGCACTTTTGAACGAGAAGTATCCCTGGGCATTCCAAGTCCAAAATAGGGAGTCTTTTTCGATACACTTGGGTATATGTATACCTTTTATTTTCTGTATAACAAAATCAGGCGAAAGATGAGAAATGCTATCAATTTTCCACGAGAGGGACTCAAAATCAATAAAATGGAAAACTTTAAGATTTGACAAATACTGCGGATATAGTTAGTGTATTCAGCAATAGTCTAGTTAAACACCCATTTATCATACCAAAAGTTAATGTCTTTACCCATTCCAACATACCAGAAACAACAGTTTTTGATTGAAGGAATGATCTTACATATGTTTCGCCTAATATTACTACAGTTGCTATTAGGTTTTAGGATGTCGAGGAAATTTTCTTATAAAAATATTTATTTTTCAGACATTTAACCCATAACTCATCAGACCTTGTAAAATTCTCCAACTAATTTTGAGTAACACAGCTTTGTTAAGAAGTTTGAGATTTCTACCACCAAGACCCCATGTTCCTGTTTAAGGCACACAGTTTTCCAGTTCACAAGACTTTTCCTGTTACTATTAGGTTTGGCATTCCACAGAAATTTTTTGCATATGGTATTAATGCTATTAATAGTGATACTAAGGATTTTGAAAATATTCATAAAGTACAAAGGCATAGGATTAACCACATGCTTAATGAGAGTAAGTCTACCTGCATATGAGAGTGTTTTATTATACCACAAATTAATACGAGTTTGAACTTTAGAAACGATATCGAAAAAAGTATGTTTAGTAATTATGTCTATGTTAAGAGGTAATCCCATATATTTTTGTCCCTGCTTTACCATTTCCAATATCCAATTGCTGGCAGATAAATTTTCTCACATTGCTAGTAATGTTTTTAGAGAAAAAAATCTTGGATTTTTGCCAACAAATCTTTTGGCCCGCCTCAGAAGCAAAAGTGTTTAAAAGGTTTTTAGTTAAAGTAATGGATTTCTGGTTAGCTTTAATTAAAATGAAGCAATCATCAGCAAAGCATAGAATAGGAATTTTAGGGCATCCCCTACTAAGGTTTAGGGCATCAATGTTTCCTTGAGCACTAGCATTGGCAAATTCGTAAACTAAAATATTCAGGCATAGGATAAAAAGTTAAGGGGACAAGGGATCTCCCTGTCGTAACCCTCTTTGAGGTTTCCAATAGGGTGATTGGTTCCCATTGATAGATAAAGAAAAGGATACTGATTTAAAACACTCCATAATCAAGTTAATCAAAAAATCAGGAAATTGATACTTCTGCAAAGCAGATCTTATGAAGTTCCATTCGAGCTTATCATACGCCTTTTCGATGTCAATTTTAAGGGCCATGCTAGGTTCTTTACATTTTCTTTTTTTCATAGTGTGAAGCATTTCATGAGAGAGTAAAATATTATCACCAATGAACCTTTTAGGGACAAATGCATTTTGAAAAGGAGCGATGATCTTATCTAAGAAAGGTCGAAGCTTTTTAAAAAGAATATTGGAGATAATTTTATAAGTAACATTGCACAGACTAATAGGCCTGAAATGACCTATAAGGTAAGGGTTTTGAACTTTAGGGATGAGAATAATCTTAGTTTTGTTTATGAAATTAGGAAGTTTACCACAAAGGAAGAAATTCTAGACAAAAGGGATCACTGAGTTTTTCAAAATCGACCAGTAAGTTTGATAAAAATGAGAATTAAGGCCGTCTGGCCCATGTGCCTTATCACCTCCAATGTGAAAAAAGAGCATCAGCAATCTCCTGGGCAGTGATAAGTGAGGAATGTTGGTTTGTAAAAAAGCAGTACGAATAGGGGATTGTGATTCTTATATGCCTTTGAAGATAAGTTA